TGTATATATACCCTATTGTGCCCACTACTGCAGAAGACACTATGAGATATGAGGAATGTGGTTTTATTAGCATGCTATAGTTAGTAACACATCTGGGAAGTATATTCTTAAACCTTACCCACTCAATATCACCCTTTCTTGCTAATCCATCTTGCCTCTTGACATGTTTTCCCTCCACAATTCTGTTTCACCTGGGAGAGGTATGAGATTAGCGTGTCCTCTGATTAACTAGGTTCTAACATCATTGCTGTAATCACCCCCCATCACTTTATAGAGCAGTAGAGGAGGAAGGTGCTGTCTCTTCACTATGTAGTTCACTGAGTAGAAAGAATCACACTCCTATTTCCTAGATTTTCATCTTATATAAATTCTAGTTTAATCAGGAAACTGAAAGACCTGTTGAGCAATTGTCCTCCCTGAGACACAAACGTAAGTTTACAACTGAACTAACTTGTTAGATATAGAAGGAAAGGGGGAGAATTTATTCCCACCTTCCCAAAGATACAAAGCATTGCAGCAAACTTCTTTTCTCTAAAGCAGCAAAGAGAAAGAAAGTTCTTTTGCAGACATTTTCCTTAGACAGTAAAGGATAAGCACTGATGGAAAGGGAGCTGTCCCACTGTCTGCACAGGAATGAGTGTAATGTAGATTATGCTGAGGACTTGTTCTAAAAATTCCGGCACAGAAGCATCTTCTTTTCCTGGATTACCTTTCCATGAGATAAATGAGCACTTACAAAGGGAAGGAAGTGCCATTCTTGAAGTGAGTGAATATGTCCCAGTAGTTTGGTTTTTGAAAAGTGGAGCTTGGGGGGAGTGGGAGAAACCCAGAAATTATGTATTAATGAAACCTAGAGGAGGAGAAATTGGAAGCATCAGAGGTTTTTTTTAATAGCAAAATTTGCTTCAAAATGTGAAAACGATTGACCAGAATGGGCGTGCACAGGCAGAGACTGTAATCCATTACTGTCTCTCAAAACAATTATTTTGGAATTAGCATAAATCGGCAGAAATTTGCCCATATGGAAAACGCAGTCACATATCCATGAAAATGAAGATGCAAAATGCAATATACTGTCTTTGGCAGAGATGGAGAGAGAGAGTGAGAGTGGCAGGAAGAGCCATTGACTGTTTAGAATTAAGCTTGTTAGTCTTCAAAGAGTGCAGGACTGATTGACTGTTTAGAATTAAGCTTGTTAGTCTTCAAAGAGTGCAGGACTGAGGCTTGCATGTTAACTGGTGAGCAAAGGGCCTGTAGTGTGAGGCACAAGAGCTTGTTCTGACAATGCCCTGCATCCATCACTCCAGAAAAGAGGAAAAAGAGTCCCCCTAGTGTACCGATGCTGTAAGAAGCAGGAGGATCCCTCGCTCGATTCATTAAATCTGCTGCAAGCTCTGCTATGGCGTGTAAGTGCCTAAAGGTATTTTAGTAAACCCCGGTCTCTGTTGATCACAAAGCTTCTAGTTTGGGAAGTAAGGAATCATAAACAATTATAAATAATGAGCTTTAAAAAAATGAACGTGTGTTCTAACACAGTTTAGCTAAGAAGTAATTGGGGTTTGCATTGCTGTATAATTCTAAATATTGTTTTTGTCATCCAGAAAATATATATATTCTCCTGGAAGACATAAGAGAAATTACTATACACAGTAATGATGTTTTCACAAGTTCTTAGGTGTGTAGCTGAGAGGTAAATTCAAGCACATTATTCTACTCAAAGTACCACTCTATTTTTTTTTACTCTTTTAGTTAAAAAGGGAAAATCTACTGCAGATAAAAGTATTCAGTGTAACCAGGATGTGCTACTCTTCCTGAACGTCAGAGATCTGGTGTGCAGCTCAAAGCACAGGCTTTGTATCCCGTTGAATTTGCAGTGTCACAGATGAGGTGACAAAGCAGCCTCCTTCATGTGTAAGCCTGGATCAGTGCCCCCCTCTCAGTAACCCCAGGATCAACAGTGCAAACCTGTCCCTTTGTGCCAGGTGCTGAAGGGACATGCACACAGGAAGGCATAGCTGCTGTTTATTGCTGTGGCTCCATAAGCAGTTTCCTCTTGGATATGCTGAGGGAGAGCCACAGATAAAAAGTTTCAGAGGAGACCAGAGGGTCTCTGCTGGGGATACAGCGCAGCTGGTTTTTAAGCAGTTTTTAAGCAGTATTTGTCATTCTGTCCTTCAATAGCTTTCCTCAGGTTGCCAGTGCTCAAGGGGACCTGGCCAGTGGAGTTCCCCTTTTGCACCAAGCTCTCCACACAAGTCTGCTTGTGGCAGGTCAGGAGCTACCTTGCTCTCTCACCTCTTTGACTGTTGGCAAGAGAGATAAATTACCTTCCCAGCAGCAAAGGAAATGTGTGTTTGGGGCTTGGGGGGAAGGGAGGATGTGTTAGGGAGAGAATTCCTTACAGTAAGTAAAAAGGCAAAACTGGACCAACACCTCGTAGGAGATGGCCTGTGGAAGGCCCAAAGGATGAGCAGCAAAACTGAAACAGTGCCCAGGGACCAGTTGTACGGCCCCTGCAGACAGGAACAGGTAGATGTGGCTGAGGGTAAAGATCTCCGGCTCCTCAGAGGTAAGAGCAGCTCCAGGGGTAGCAGAGGAGGCTCTTACAGCTGTTCAGGTTACCAGTGGTGACGTGACTTATGCAGAGGCATTAGGTACGGGGATGTTGTTTTACATTTTATGGCATAGACTGACATTTCCTGGAAATACAGTTTAATTATGGCACAAAGAGATGCAGCACATGTTTCATTTCGGGAGGGAGGAGCTCTGGCAGCTCTGCCTGAGCGTGCCAAGGCGATGGTTGGTTTGTTGGTGCACAGGGGTGCAACAACTTGTGTATACAATGCTGTGCTTACTTATGTGCTGCAACATATGCCCACGTCAGTGTCTTTGCTAATAAAAACCCCATAGTGGTGATTGCCAGGTTTAGTCGCTTAAATGAGTTAAGGGAGTTTGACAGGTGTTTGTGCATATTCACTGCAGAAAGGCTCCTCCTGAAGAGAAACTGTAAAATAGACATCTTTAACTTTCCTTTCGGCTTCACATGCAGTATCTGACTTCTGTGTGTGTGTTTTCCTGGAGACAGCCGAGGCAATCTCCTCTAGTCGCTCGCCCACTTACCAGTTGTATTTTGAATTGCTTGTGATGATATGGATGTTGATTATGGCCTTCACAATACTGCCTGGTTTTTCCAAAGAACTGTCCACAGGAAATTCTCAGCTGACCAAAAGGCAAACCAAGGTATTAGTTCAGTGCATTTTCTTTCACGAGTGAGAAGCAGATAAGATTTCAGCACAAATGGTGCATTTTAATTATGTTTATAAATGAAATGCAAAGCAGATGTTGGCAGCACCATTTCAAGTACTCCTTCCCCATCCCAGAGGCAATGTTTTAGTGTTAATACTGTGTATCTCTCTAAAAATGCTGAATCTGAAAACTTTGTTATGCTAAAATATCTCATTGACCTAGGAATACTTCTGGGTCCTCATGCATCTGCATGTCAGTTCTTCTAATTTCTAATTTTTTAAATACATACTAAAATTTCCTTTCTTAAGTTTTTTCTTAAAAATCAAAAGAAATAAAATTGTATTATAAAAACTCAAAGAATGCAAAGTAAACTGGATGAACCCTGCCTGTATCACTCCCTCAGCACCCATTTCATTTGTGTTATACTTGCATACATATGCATATATATTTATATATCCTATATAATATATATATATATATAATATGTATGTGTATATATACACCTGCACATACCTATGCACTCTGTCACATTCCAAACACTCCTGGATGTTGGAGCTTAAAATTATATTGCAGGAAATATTAGGCAGGCAAGTGCTGTGCCTACAATTGGAATATTGTTGATATTCTCACATTTCTTTGACTATAACAGCTAAGATCAATATTTTCAATACCTTCAAAAATGAGATAATAACTTCAAAATATTACCAGAAATTTACTTGAAATGGAAAGGGTGTGTTAGGCTTAAGCTTAGAGACTAAACTGCTTTTAATTCTGCATTTTTGTTTCTGGCAGTCTTTGGAAATCATGTTGTTTGCACTAGTGACTGAAATGCAATTCTAGGAGGACAGAAAGATGCACTAAGATTTATATGAAGGTGTAATACAGCAAAAAGTGTATGGGCTGTTATTCTACTGTGTTTCCAGAGGACTGTATTGATCTTCAAAGGGTTAAAGTGCTACCAGGTTACATTAATGTCACCCTTCAGAAATCACTGGCCAATAACGTATCAGCAATCAATGCTGCAGTGGGTTGTTCGGGATACTCAGTTTTTGGAGACAAGTGGCTGATATATTTTGACAAGAAGAAAAAATAGTCTCGGAAATTCTTGCAAATCTGAACTCAGAGGGGAAGATACATGAAACAAACTGCTTCCATTAGAAAAAATGGTAATGTTTGCCTTCATAAGTAACTACATTTTATGTCAGTTCAGTGGAGCAGTGAATGAACCAAAACTCTGCTAACCTTCAAAATGCAAAGGATTCTGTAAGTAGGATTTACATAGTCTGAATATTTTATATTTTGAGTGCTCATCACAGCACACATAAACTAATACTTTGATATATATTTCCAGTAAAGAAAACATTTGACTTCTGGTGGAATAAAGCAGTGAGACATGTTTTGGCTTGTGACTACAGACACAGGTTTCTCAGCCCCTGCTCCTTTTCCCCCTGTTAGCAATTTTCTTCTGTCTAGATCTTATAATTTGTGTACATCCAAAGAAGGCAACACAGTCCGCTTCACTTTGACACAAAAGAAACTTAAAGAAAAAAAAAAATCACGAACTCAAACAGCCATAAAGTAGAAGCATAAATGAGGGAGTAAAAATAGAGGCTGCAAGAGAACACGAGGGGTTAAAGATCTGACCACTGTCTGCATGTATAAAATCATATCACCTTATCTGAAAAGTTTAGGCTCAAAAGAAAACCCTCGGCTTAAAATACCTTTTAGGTATATTAAATCTTTAGGCTGAAGATTACAGCAAGTGTTTTCTCTTTGGTGAGTAGCTGTTTGTCTCACTTTATTTACTTGGTATTGGGTATTTGTCAATGTCATTTCATATCTGCAGAAAATTCATACGTTCCATGGAAGTATGTATGTGTGTGAGTGTGCTGAAGGTCACATGACTGTTTCATCCTATTTGGTGGAGCAGCTTGACTTTTTTTCTCTTGCTTTTGGTGATGGTTGTGAGTGCAGAAGTTGATTGACAGATGCATGCCAGAAACCCCCATTCTCCTTTTCAAAGACTACATATGATGGATTGCGATCTTTCAGCTCAGCAGGACACAGGGACCATGCAAGCTGTAATTGGTCAGGTATGGAGTCAGCCATTTCTCAACTCCCCTTTTATTTTTTTTTTTTTTCACAAGGGTCTAACCATATGATTCACATAATTCATATTTACAGTACCATCTTTCTATCTGTATCTTCAGCTACCAGCGAGTGTAGTACTGAAAGTGAGAAAGGCAAAAGAACCACAATAATCTGGCCAGGGAATCACTAGATAAACCTAAATTACCAAGCTTTTCTTCTAATAAACCCCATTTATAATTTAGTCTGAGCTTTGTCAAATCAATGTATTTATTTATTTGCTGTTTTATTTTGTTAAAATGTGCTGAAGTAGAAGAACTGAGGAGTGAAAGTGTTATGTTTGCTGGGGAGTTGCTTTCTATTTCTAATGCTATTCATTATTTCTATATTGACTGTATTCCTGTACTACAGGCTGTGGCTTTTTTTAAATTATCATTATATTTTATTTTTCCTTATTTTACTCCTAATCCAGATAATGTGTGATTGAGCTTGGTAAATGTAGTAGTCTTTGCTGCTGCAGAGGGGCAGCCTGCAAATTAAACACTGCCACAATCTGAAAGGTCCAGGTGGTCTGCTCGTGCTTCCTAATGCAATCCAGCACAACAGCTTTAATAAACAGCTCTATTTAGTTCTCCCTCCCTGTATCCAGGGAAGTGAACTGGTCTGGGGCTGCTGTGATGAAATGCCAGAAGAATATCTCTCAAAGGCCTCACAAGCTGATTTTTAGAGCTTTTCCGTTTTGTCGTCTTTGTCTTCCAAATGGGTCAGTGAGTCCTTCTCTTTCTGTTTTGTGATTTCTGATAAGTCTGTAGTTTTTATATGTGTGTTTTAACCGTGCTGTTTTGAGCTTTAGCCAGAAGAGAGAAGAATCATTGTCTTTTCATTTGCTTCAAATAATAACCTGAAGTGGGGAAAGAAATTAAATTATTTTGTTCTGATGAGCAGGGAGGGCTGTTTTCCTATGAATGCAGTCGGAGTCAGATGAGGGTGCCTGTTTTCCTTTCTCTAACAAAATTTAAAGTGCTCAACACTTTGTCATTAATCACCGGTTTGTAAATCAGTCTCTGGTGAAGGGAATTTTTTGAACTCTCAAAAGTTTGTGGTTTTTTGCATATGTTTCCAGTATAGTGAACGCATGCTGCTGAGGTGATGACATAGTATTTGTTTTCTATATGCTGATATGATGGGGGGAAAATATGCAGTCTACACACTGTTTTCAACTAAATTATGGCAAAGCACAGAAGTCCCTCAAAGCACATGGTTTATTAATACCATCATACACAGTAATGCATTTCTGGGTGGAAAATGTCAAATATGTAATACCATGTTTACCACAGACTTTTATTGCTTTAAATATTTTAAAAATAGGAGATACATTTTTTATTAAAAATCCTCCAAACATTAACAGCTTTCTATTAGGCTGGCTTATATCTAAAAAGTGGGGCATGTTTGCTGGTACTACATTGTGTGAAAATATGTGTTTTAGAGTGTGTTAATTACCTTTTTGTTTTCTTTGGTCAGTCTTAAAGATATATGTTTAATGATACAAAGGCAGATACAATGGTAAGGTTTTGAGCAGATACACTTGACAGAAAATGTGCGTCGAAACATTGATAAATCGCAAACCTGGTAATATCTCTTTAATGTAACTTTTTTTTTGGCATATAAGAGAGTGTAAGTTAGCTATTTTATATTGAAAGCTTACCAGCACTCAGAAAGCGGTTTTGAGGCCGGAAAAAATAGAAGGATGTTTTTTTTGTGTGTGTAACATTCCATATTTCATCAGTTAAAAAAGTTCAGAGAATGTCTGCAAAAATATTTGTATCATGTGTTAGTGTATTTCATTTCCTAAAATCAGTAACAAGGGCATGGACTTCAAAGGAAAATACATTTAGCTATTTTAGGTGACTAACTTCTTTGGGGGTTTTGCATCAGAATTTGTAGTTATTATTATTCTGAAATTTACCATCTCAGGTTTTGCAAACATTTTTTTAGATCTCTGTGTGTGCATATTTACATATCATATGTGTAAGTGTGCACATCCAAATGTGTTCGTAAGTCCACAAAATTTTCAAGTATGTTTCTGTTTTTGATCAATTGTCCAGTGTTCAGTTGTTATTAGGTATGTATTAGGATAGTACAAAAAGTTTAATTTTTTTTTTCTGATAAAAAACTATGTTTTTTCTAGATGTATAACAAAAGAGTTAGTTAAAACTTCGGAACCTCAGTGCAATCAGTATAATTACCATACACTGCTGAAAATAGAGATTTTCTCTATGAAATTTCAGAGAAAATAACTATCAAAAAACAAAACCTATGTCAGAAAATCTTTCCACACTGTACATCTATATTTAGTATTGATAAATAATAAAGATTTGCATATTTGCTTGTAACATATTTTTAGAAGAGACCTTTATTTTCTGATACTACTAGAAAAAGTTCTTAAAAGTCTTTGTTAACTTTCAAACCTCCAGAAGCAAAAACTTAAATAAACGTTTGTAATTTTGCTTCTTTATTTCACAATTGTGTTTTTCTTCAGCCATCGGAATGATTTTTTTTTTTTTTTTTTTTATGAATCTTGGAGATGCAGCTTTAAATTCAGTCTTGTTTACCGCTAATGGAGCGTGAACTTGCCTAATTAAAAATCCAAACTATACATGTATAACCCTGATGCAGTGGAGATCTGAAACACTAGCAGTTATTTGTAGTTCAAACACTAGTCTGTGTATGACATGAGTGTAATAGCAGGAGCATACTGATTTAAAGGTATTTTCAACACCAAGTGCTTGTTCATCATTAAATGCATTTTCCTTTTTTTTTTTTTTAATCTGGATTTCAGCTCTCTCTAAGCACCAATGCCTACAGTGGCTCCCACTGGTGATGTTGAGGGTGGGCAGAGTGCTACAATCCTGACCATCACCTGGCACCTGGGTGTACTGGGCACGGGGTGCAGAATTGCTTGGGAGCCTTCCCTCTGGATTTTTCCTCCCCCAAGCAAGCAATAAAACAGCCAACTACTCTGAAGAACAACCTCCTTGCCTGGTGTGTCAAGATCTAGAAGCTCATTGCTCATTGTGATTTTGATTCATAACTGGAGTGTTTGGCATGAAACCCTGATCCCTGCCAGCAATAGTCTGTAGCATCCTTCCTTGCACGCTGAACCCATTATTTCTTCAGTTGTGTTTTGATCTTATAGAAACTATTAGCTGGGTTTTTATGCCATATTCCTTATATATCCTGAGCCTATCTGAATGAACAGGTAATTAAACGTGTCATCTAATTATTCCAATTATGCTGTAATTTCTCTACCTTGTGTGGTTTCTGAAACCTGTACTATACGTTTCTCTTCTTTTTTTTTTTTTTTCTTTTTTTTTTTTTTTTTTTTTTTTTTTTTTTTTTTTTTTTTTTTTTTTTTTTTTTTTTTTTTTTTTTTTTTTTTTTCCCTCTCCATCTTTTTTTTTCCTTCATATTTTCTTTTTCTTTTTTTTTCCTCTTCAGACCTGAGCTTGTGAGTGACAGGTTAGTTCATCAGCATTACAGCCCTCCTGTTTTTGTCTCATCTCATGCAGACAGGTCAGTGTGTCCAATCACCCTTGTGGCTCTGCTCTCCCTGGGGGAGCCCAGGCCAGCCCTGCCATCTTGATCCACCGGCCTGAGGGCCCAGCCTGGCTGCACATTTCTGTGCTCACTGCTTCTTGCAAATGTAGGAAAACGGCAAGGGGAGGGGGGCAGCTTCAATTAGATCCCTGTGTATTGAGAGGAAGCAAATTAGGTAGCATTTCTCTTCGAATAAGCGTGTGTTTGCAGTTCTTACTGCTACGTTTGAGTTCTCTTTATGAAAGTTGCTTGTTTATTTTCTGTATTTCAGTGGTATCCTCCATATGATCTCACCAGCAGTAAATGCTATATATGCGAAGCTAAACGTGTTTTTTTCCCATAGAGAGTTCTGGTCTGAAGCCCAGTTTGTGAAACTGATACATTGCTGCAACCAATGTGGATCTTTCCGTTCTGTTTCAGTTTATTGCCCTTTTAAAAAATGTTGGTTTGTGTTCTTCCCAATGATTAACAACAATAGAGCAGGGGGATAGTGTTTCAGAGAAGCCCTTCCTTTCTGTAACTCATGGGTCACTTTTGAGAAGTTTGTTCTGTTGTCAGTATTATTTTATAAAGCAGATTAATACGTACACAGGAGTTTAATTTTTACCAAATGAAGATCACATCTATAATTTTAATTTGTCTTGAGCAATCTCTAAGTGCTTTTTCTTGTAGTAGTAGAGGACTTTTTTCTCTTGGAATACCTGTTTCAATCTTTAATCTGATACAAAGAATTACCTACAAAATATACAAACAAAAGAACCATCTCACATGTAAATTTAGGACCCGCTTTCGTAAGACACCAGGGAGTTGTGTCCTTTTGTCTGCAGTTTGGGACAAATCCTGTTCTTTCTAGCAAGAATTAGACCCATGGCTGTAAGCATGACTATGTGCATAAGTAAGGTCAGACTACTTGTCCTCTTGTCTGCTTAGTGTATGTCCAGCACAGACATTGCTGTCCTTTGCAGTCACCAGCAGTGGTTTTCTGCACTTCAAGACTGTGAGAGAGAAACTTTGGGACAGGTACACACTGGCTGCTGTTTTCAGTAGTAGAGAGACAATGTAAACAATGAGAATTATGTTTGGAGAACTTCAAAAATGTACTTTTTAATATTTATGAACAAGCTGGTACTCTGATAATGAAGCATTCCATCTTTGCAGAAACCTGCTGTTGTATACACTCTCTAGAATACTGTGTCCCCAAGAATTATTATTGTAAGGATATGCAGGAATGTGGCTGTAATATTTTACAGTATAAATATTTGTTGTAGAGAGGTTTGGATCTCGTTAATTTAATATATGTAAATTCTTTGGTCCTAGGCCTGGATTCCAGCAAAAGAATGCATTTTTCTGTTGACTTCTGTTTTTAGAACAGAAAAGATGGATTTTTTTTCTTTCTGATTCATACTTT